TCCCGACATCTGAGCCGCTGAAGACGCAGAGGATTAACGTTACTTTCATTTTGAAGGGAATGTGCCGATCCCCGATCTGCCTAAATGCGTCTATGTTCTCACGAATCATTCGTGATCGAGCTTCATCTACACAAGAAGTGAGTATAAGGTTTTTTATGAATCTTTACAAATCGCCTTTCCTAATATGTGCTAGTTAGCAAGTTTCGCGGCTAAAGTAAACAGTACTGCTTGTCACCCCACAGAAGAAAGGGGTGGGGTGAGCAGAGCTCATTAGCATTTAAAGCAACATGGACTAGAATGACGTACTGAAAACAGAGCTCATTTTGACAAGGTAAAAAGGCTGTTTTTTACACTACCATTGAGAAATTTTAACCAAAGTATGCTATAGACTTTTCATTAAGACCCTAAAAAATCATATCAACTTATATCAAATGGGCATCCGATGACCCCTTTAATGCTTTTCGCTCCTTAAAAGATAAAGGATAACTGTATTTCCTATTACATGAATCCTTTAACTGTTTATGATTGGCATGAGTTCCACAGTGCTGTCTGGATGCTTCTGTGTTATAGCATATTTGTGATGTTGTCATCATACTATATTTCTGGCTCAAATGTGACTTTTTATCACTGCATTAAGCTGAATCACTGCATTTAGCTTCCTCTATAGGGGGAAGTCGTGGCCTAATGGTTAGAGAGTCGGACTCGTAACCCAAACGTTGCGGGTTCGAGTCTTGTACCAGCAGTGATTGTAGGTGGGGGGAGTGAATGTACAGCGCTTTCTCCCACCTTCAATACCACGACTGAGGTGCCCTTGAGCAAGGCACCGAACCCCCAACTGCTCCCCGGGCGACGCAGCAAAAAAAATGGCTGCCCACTGCTCCGGGTGTGTGTGTGTGTGTTCATTGCTGTGTGTGTGTGCACTTTGGATGGGATGCAGAGCACTAATTCCGGGTATGGGTCACCATACTTGGCCACATGTCACGTCACTCTTAGCAGAGATGTTAGAAGTGATCAGATGTTTGATTTCTCCATGTTCAGTTTGATCTTATATGTCAGTCATAATTGGGCATTGGCTTGTCCAATTTGGTTTTGTGAACTGATCTTGTGAACTTTGGCTGACATTATAGTGATCTAGATTTACAGCATATATTGAATTACCCAGAATGCACTGCCTAATCTCATCTCATTTTAAGCAGTTTTTAACATAAGCACTGCTTTTTTCAAATACACAGGCGGTAGTATAGATTAAAGAAAGAGTCCCTTGTGATGTAACTGAATTTAGCCTCATGACCTCAAACAGTCCTAACCAGGCATGATGAGATTAAGTTAAATCTTGCTCATAGTGGTCAAAAATCATGCTGTATATCAAATATCAAATATGTTTTGTTTGACTTGTCACATCCTGCAGCTTTTTTCCTTTCCCTGTGGACAGACAACTAGCTTGACGTTGTAAACATATGCATTGCTCCTAGCTACGACTGAGTGTCATTCTTTTTTCCTCTGTCTGTCATGATGGTAAGAGCCTCAATGGGGCAGTAAGCTTCCCATTAATCTTAGCTGACAGTTTGACCACAGACGTACTGCAGCATGGCGATGAAATCCTGGAAAAGGTCTCGCTTGGAAAGTGAAAGCATTTCTCTTCTCTGTATCACATGAGCGTCATCATTGCAGTAGTTCTAGTCTAGATGAAGGTTTTATTGAACATTAGAAACCTCAGTGTCTTTGACAGACAGCTGCGATTGGAGCCATTCCTAGTATTTCTTTAAAGGCAAAGTTTTAAAAATGAATCAAAGGCTCTAGGAGGAGGTGTTTTCAGCGTTTTTTTCCCCCAGGCTTACTTCAGAGCGAGTATCCATGTATTATTTATACACCACACAAAGCTGAGCGAAAGAGAAGGAGGGACAGTTAGAGCACTCATTCATATGCAGAATTAGTCAGATTAATTTAAAGGATGCCATGTGATGTGCTATCAGCTAATAAACTCACTGGATTTCATGATGTGATTAGATCACATCAATAAAGCTCAATAAAACTCATTACAACAATAAAGCTCTTTCTGATTCTGATTCTGATTACAGAAGCAATATCAGATATTTCATCTGTTCATTTACCGCATCTGGCTCATAAACATCCCTCTGTCCTAGCGTAAGTCTCATTCTCTCATCAAAAAGAGACAAGTACTGTAAATGTGTTTTGTTGGAACATTGTTCATCATCCTGAGAACCTAGAACAAGGTGGAGTAAAACAATAAATATTAAATGAAGGTTCGATTTCCATAGAATATAAATTCTACTCATCCATCAGTTTGTAAAAACAAACGTCATGTTTACAGTAATGCACTTACTATGGAAGTCAATGGGCCTTCTGCTTTTCACTGTACACAAATAAAAGGACTATACCTGCAATGTACTGTTTATAGTATATTTACTATTTATATAGAAGCTGATGATGCTTTTTACATTTTCTTTCTTATTCAGGCTTCTCAGGCTCTTAAGCAGGTGTTTGTGCATAATGGCTCTTATTCCTGCCATCAAATGAGCCACTTGTGTAGCGGGTGCTCTGCTGAGGTCTGCTTGATGTTCTGCTCAGGTACAAAGTGTCTTTTTGTGTCCCTCAGAAACCAACAACAAACTGTGTCAGAGTCCGAATCGTAACAAGCTTTCCATCTTACAGACTAACTGATATACTTGACTTTCTTAGTATTTTGTGGTGAAAAATTATGCTTTTGTCTCTTAGACTAATGAAACTCAATGCTTAAACAGTTTATATGTCTGCTTTTAGGTGATGCCAGCAACATTTGTTCTTATTCATTACTCTTTAAGAGGAAAGTGGTGTAGTTAACATTTGAGACAGAAATAGATTGAGGGAGTCAATGAATAATGCTAGTAAATACTAATATGATAAAGTAAATGAGACGAATAGAAAATAGTGACTTTATAATTACTGTAAAGTCATCATTTCACTGCATTGCAACATCATTAGCAAGCTCTGAATTTCATCTCTGGTGATTGAATGCCTAAACTGGGTGTTTTGTGGTATTGAATTTCTGTATATCATCCCATAAACAGATTGGATGTCAAAGGCTATGTTCGAAGTGAAATAATAACTTAACTCATACTGCGCAATTCGTACTCAAAGCTTTTTTTAAATATGTGAAATGCATTATAAAATGTTAAACCTTTTTTACACAATAGTACACTATACTGTTGTCACAATTTGAATGTTTAATTCAGGTGTTTTGCTGTTTTAACTTTTGTGTAAAAATATAACTTTTAGGTAATTTGTTATTCTGGAAATGGAAGGTTAGGTGGAGTCCATTGTATTGTGGGATACATTCTGTTATAAACTGCACATTTTAGCAAAAGTAGTAGGTCATACATTTATTCATTTCATACAGGTGTATTCTATATGCACACTGCAAAGTTTTAAGAGTCATAAATTATGCCATTAGTAGCTGTTCTGGTTGTTGGAAGTGCTGTAATTGCTTTAATGATACAAACTTGTTCTGATGTTCCAGAGACGGATGATGCTGGAATCATGCATGAACAAGAGAGATCAGAGAGACAGGTGGAGGGCCGAGATGAAGCTGGTATCTAGAGATAAGAAGGCAGATACAGGACACTGATGATTACTGTCTTTAAGGGCAGATTAAAGGGCAGCGTTAATCATCTCATCACCATGGGTAATTAGTTACAACTTCAAACATTCTAGAACCAAATGATCAAGGCCCACTCTAGCCCACAGACAGGGATGAGCTATTCTAAAGGCCATGGTGACCAGAATGATGTCAAGTCAGTGAATGTAGAAATGTCCCTGAATCAGTTATGTGACTCTGACTCTGACTGTAATGTATTAATGAGCTTTATCGGACCTCACAAAGGATGGTGGTGAATCCATAAAATGTCCACAGACAAATGGACTGATGATTTCATTTATGATTTATATTCACCTTTCCCCAGGTCTGGGTTCTTACACTCTGCACAAATTTGATAAAACCACCTTTATTTTCAGCAGGTACAGTGGAGTAGAAGAATAAACAACCACACACAGAAAATAGAATGGGAAAAACCCTAATATGCAATATGGCTGCTATACTATCTGTCTGTCTTTCTTTCTTTCTTTCTTTCTTTCATCCAAAAAAATAATCAATAATTTTGGAATTATCAAAAAAGCAGACCACACATAGAAAGATTTATGTCTTTATATTTTATATTTAAATAACACGAAATATGGCTGCTATACAAAAATGAGGTTTTGCATTTAAGTTAAAAATACCAATCACTTTTTTGATAGAAGCAAACATTATTGTTTGCTTCTATCAAAGAAGCAATATTGATTTGAGCATGGTTTGTGATATAAAAAAATTACATTGTTACATTGCGATTTAAAGTGAGAAAAGAATAATATATATATATATATAGTTGTTGTTATGTTAAAAGTGTTATTTAAATATAATTTGGACTTTTAGCAATTTAGGTCTTTCTATATTCAAAAGTTGAATTTTGATTTTTTGTCTTCATAATGACTAAGTACTGTCTATACAATACTACAATAACAAACTACAATACATCACAGAAAAAAAATGTTTTACTGTAATATAATTTTGACTTTTAGCAATTTAGGTCTTTCTATATTCAAAAGTTGAATTTTGATTTTTGTCTTCATAATGACTAAGTACTGTCTATACAATACTACAATAACAAACTACAATACATCACAGAAAAAAAATGTTTTACTGTTATCTTGTCATTCCATTCAATTTTAGTCACTAGTCTTATATCATACTTGTAGAACTGGGTTTCATTTCCTTTCTCTCATCTCTCCTGCACAGCTCCAGCAGAGATATCATCACTGTATCATCAGTCTCACTCTGGATTACTGCCAGATGTTAGCTCACCACAAAAACATTAAAAAAAACTTGTCCATAGGGATCTCCATATGCCACAGAATCAATCGAACCACCAGTTTGACTGCCCCATTTATCTTCAAACATAATGATGGTTGGAGAAAAGAAAGTAGTCCAGTTGAATTGAAATTGTACCCCCCTCCTCCTTCCTTCCTATATTAGATATACAGTGTAATTTGTGATCAATCCAGAGGTAGGGAAAAGCAGTAGAAGACTTTGTGCCCTCTCAGCTGTGGCAGGGCTGGATTGAGTCTTAATCATCCAAACTATCAGCACAGACTGTGAATAAGCCCCTGATGAGCCCTTAATTTCGCTTGGTTGGAAATGCACAGAAAAAACACCATATTTCGTTAGTTTCCCAGTGCATGCATATATGCATGTGCGTGCACACGTCTACACATTTTGATTGGCCATAGTACTTTTTTGTTGACTAAATCTCACTGTGCTCGTGTAAATTAGAATGCCTTGGGCTCAGTGCTATCTGTGACGCTGGGCAGATGGTGAGGTTGAACTCCAGAGTGATGAATCAAGGGTTCAAAATATAGATCAGTGCAACACTGCAGGGGCTGTGGTGAAAAGAGCACCCTAAAATAACCTCTAGATTGGTGCTCGAACAAATATAAAATTTACATTTAAAATATCAACCATTTATGGACTATTTAGATTTTTTTTAATTGTTTGCATGAATTAAAAAAAGAAACAAATAACTAAATATTACAAAATAATATAATAATACAAAAAAACACTTTTGAAGGGGCATTAAGGGTCTCTGCACAGACTGTTTACTGCTGCTCAGAAGTGGCATAAATGCATTTACACAGCAATTATACTTAATACTAAGTTCGGAAGAGGGTCAGAACAGGCAAAATATAGTCTGGCTTTTATGCAGCAATATGTCTTTACACTGAATTTTTAGCAGGCACAGAGCAGCATTAACTTTAGGCATCTTTAAACAGCTGAACCAAGGCTGCTCTGTGCCTGCTCAAAATTCTGCTCAAAATAGTGCCGCATAAAATCCATTTGTGTAAAGATGCCTTAAGTGGCATAATGGCATAAATAACTTTTTTAAATAACTTTTTTTAAATCAAATTACTCCATTATTATTTTCTTTAATAATGTATTACTTTTTTCATTTTTACTTCTTAATTTATTTTATTTCAGTTTTTTACTTCTGTTATTATGTTTACAGGTTTGGTTGTCCAAAAATTAATACAGAATAGCCTTATTAAACATACTTTCTTCTATAGTAAACTAAACCTTTTAGATGTGCAGAAATCTTCTAGTTGCTGTCTAAAGTACAATGAAAATGTCCCAGCCAAATTCAAGCCTAGAATTACACCGCTTCAATTGGATGACATGTAAGCAACATATGCAAAACAAACTCTTACATTACTCAGCATTCTGAATATACAGCCACAGTAACACAGTAAGTCTTCTGTCTCATTTACATAAGCTCCACCTTTTCCTCATCATCCTACTTAACCCATGGAGTTTTGACATCATCACAGCAGACCAGAGGCTTAGTGCTACAACACACCTGATGGCTACAGGTAAGACTTCTTGCCTTTCCTACTGAATATACATGTTAGGACAGAACATGTTAGCTCAGTCTTTAAGTCTGTTATTTTTCCATCAGTATGTGATGCTAAGCTGTGTAAAAATAAGGGGGGGAGGGATGTTTTTGGTGCTGTAACACCAAATCCTCTTAAGGAGCACAGTTGGTCACCATGGACACCAAAGCATAACCATGACGATAACAGGGGGCACCTGTATTGTCATACCTTTTATAGATGCAAACAACAGAATAGAATCAGTGTTAGTTGCATAAACACATATGCATAGTAATTATTAGCAAATACTCAACAGCCCTCAGATCTCTTCAATTTCATCCTTTTTTTTTTAGAAGATGTGAAAAGTGTACCTTATAAAGACCTTAAATTTAAGAACTACCTCCCTTTAAATTCATGTGAATTTAAATTGGGAACATGCTCAACAGAGATATAAATAAATGACAGGAAGTTAATTTACAGTAGATACATGCATTTCATTCAATTAAAATTTTCCTTTAAATTTTGTTTTCTGTTTGTTACTTCTGTTTACATTCAATTCAAATTAGGAACTGAATTTAATTTCTCAGTTCATTTTGAAAGCGCACAAACCTGGCGTACTAACTATATAGAAATTATGTTGAAGATGCCAGTATGGTTTAAATTCACAAAAAATGAGAATCCATGTCTATCTCAAGCAGTTTTCTACTATTCTAAATCAGTATTCTTAGTTGCAATAGACTGGTCGAGACTTTTAAGTTTGCTCCTCTAGTGGGACGGCAAATCCAAAAACAAAGAGAAATGTATTACATGAAAGAGCAACACCTCATTTTCATTTACATTGATTTATCTCCAAAAATTGCCCAGCAACTTTGTATCAAAGAAAAAATAATATACATTCTGTCTTCGTTCTGGAAGAATATGCTTTGTATCACAAGCTTTAGAGATAGTCATCTAACAAAGCAATTTCAGTGGAATTGTGATTTAGATGATCTTTGTTCCAATGAGTTCCTGTGTGGCTTCTCATCTTTTTGTGAAACCCAGGTTTTGTAATCAACAGCAAAGCCTTCTGGGTAAGTGCAGAGACACCTGTGCTTTTTGGGTAAAAGCCACTGAAGTGGAAGCACTGCCAGAAGAGAATGCCCTTCAAGCAAAGACAATGTAAAAACATAAAGTTCAACGTCACAACATGTTATTCCACCCCACATTATGCACCTCATTGCTCTGAACCATTTGGAGGATTAATACTTAACTCACCATCCTTGTCATCTAATTAGTTTCATGTTGTGTGTATTCACATTTGGATCCTGGTTATAAAGACCTTGTTATGATGAATGATTCTCAGCTCAGCTAATGCTAACCTTCTGATTAACACCTTGCAGGTCACAGCACCCAAACAGAGATTAATCTGAAAGTTATTTCATCCCTGCTGTGATATCCAGTAACTTGAAAATCAGTCGGATTAAGGTACTGTCAGTTTTTACTTTAAGAGCCGTGTCGAAATTCATGCCTAAAATATGAAATCATTAAACAAGATGCCAAGGTCTGCTGACCAAGGGTACTGATGCATGTCCAGAGAGTAAAAGATCAGGCACTGCACAATATTTGATAACTAGCTAGCTGATGGTTTGTTATTAAAGATCTTTTTAACTGGATCTCATCCCAGACTGGATCAGCAATTAGTCAGAGAACATCCAAGCTTTTCATCCTCTCAGAAGGATCCTGGTTATAAAGACCTTGTTATGATGAATGATCCTCAGCTCAGCTAATGCTAACCTTCTGATTAACACCTTGCAGGTCACAGCACCCAAACAGAGATTAATCTGAAAGTTATTTCATCCCTGCTGTGATATCCAGTAACTTGAAAATCAGTCGGATTAAGGTACTGTCAGTTTTTACTTTAAGAGCCGTGTCGAAATTCATGCCTAAAATATGAAATCATTAAACAAGATGCCAAGGTCTGCTGACCAAGGGTACTGATGCATGTCCAGAGAGTAAAAGATCAGGCACTGCACAATATTTGATAACTAGCTAGCTGATGGTTTGTTATTAAAGATCTTTTTAACTGGATCTCATCCCAGACTGGATCAGCAATTAGTCAGAGAACATCCAAGCTTTAAACACGACATGCAGCATTTAACTTTACAGCTGATCATGTGAGTATAACGTATGTTATTTAACCTGTCAGTGCTGTTTAACCAAAATAATAATTTTCTCTAGTTATAGTTATCCTTCTGCCTCTATTTTTAAGAAATACCATTCAAAAGTTTGGGGTCAGTAAGATTTAAGAAAAAGAAAAAAAAGAAATGAATGATTACCTCTTTTCAGCATGGATGCATTAAATTGATCAAAAGTGAGAGTAAAGACATTTATAATTTTACAAAAGACTTCTATTTTAAATAAATAAATGATGTTTTTATGAACTTTCTATTTAAGAAATAGTTCTGAAAACATTATGGTTCCAACATTTCCAACATTAAACATAATAATAAATGTTTCTTAAGCATCAGTGTTACGGGGCGAACGAGACGCGCGGATCCATCCGCAAGGCTTTATTAAAGGGTGTGGTCATGAATCAGGCATGGGTCAGACAATGGCAAACAGGTATATTAAGGGCAAGACAGAAGAGTAAACCAAAACGGGTCTGGTCGATCAGCGGCTAACAATATCCAGAGGGCTTGACACGAGGAGTTATCCAATAACACGAGCTAGAGTCCAAGCGAGGTGCAAACACAGTCCGAAACAGTAGACAAAGGGTTAATCCAAGAAAAACAGGCAATAATCAGGTAACACGGGAAAGCAGGCAAAACAAGACTATGACTAAACAATGAAAACTCGAAATGGCTCCGTAGAGTAGCTATCGCTAGGTGAGTGATATGCGCTATACAATACTCGGCAGTGTGAAAGGGATCTGAGTGAATGTATATAGTGAATGTGTGATTGGTTACAGCTGTGTGCAATCAGTGCTGTGTGCAATCAGTGCAATGGATGATGGGATATGTAGTCCGGGATGACATGCAACAGTTTGTGTAGTGCGAGAGTCAATGTAATGGAAGGGTGACCTCTGGTGGTGAGTGAATTGAAGTTCATAGACCGGATTCGTGACAATCAGCATATTAGAATTGCAGTGATTTTAAGGTTAGATAACCATGGTCATACTAACCATACTGTATGTTAATGTTAAAGGGATAGTTCACCCAAAACTGAAAATTCTGTCATTAATTACTCACCCTCATGTTGTTTCAAACCCGTAAGACCTTCGTTCATCTTCGAAACACAAATTAAGATATTTTGGATGGAATCTGAGAGCTGTCTGAGCCTGCGTAGACAGCAATACAACTGAAATGTTCCCAAGTCCAGAAACGGAGCAAGGAGATCTGTAAAATAATCCATGTCTACTCTACGGAGCCATTTCGATCAGGGGTTCAACTGTAATTTTATAAAGCTACGAGAATACTTTTTGTGCGCAAAAGAAAAAAAAAAAACGACTTAATTCAACAATTCATCTCCTCCGCGTCACCCTAGCGCCATTTTGGAGAGTATCCACTGGACGTAAACAACATATGCTGTTCTGTGTCAGCCGCACCACACGGATACGCTGTTTCCGTTCAGATCAAATCACAACAACATAATAAACAGATCTGGCGTGACGCAGCTGACACAGAACAGCATACGTTGTTTACGTCCAGCGGATACTCTCCAAAATGGCGCTACAGGGTAATGCGGAGGAGACGAATTGTTGAATAAAGTCTTTTTTTTTTCTTTTGCGCACTCATAGCTTAGTAAAATTACAGTTGAACCCCTGATATAACATGGATTATTTTACAGATCTCCTTGCTACGTTTCTGGACTTGGGAACATTTCAGTTGTATTGCTGTCTATGCAGGGTCAGACAGCTCTCAGATTCCATCAAAAACATCTTAATTTGTGTTCCGAAGATGAACGAAGGTCTTACGGGTTTGAAACGACCCGTACGAGGGTGAGTAATTAATGACAGAATTTTCATTTTTGGGTGAACTAACCCAAAATTCTGAAGGATCATGTGGCAATGAAGACTGAAGTAATATCTGTTGAAATTCAGCTTTGCCTATAGGAATAAAGTACATTTTAATATATTTTAAAATAGAAAATTGTTATTTTAAACTGTAATAGTATTTTACTTTGTTTTTAATCAAATAAATGCAGCTTTGGTGAGCATAAAATACTACTTACACTAAAGAACATTAAAAACTTTTAACTGACCCCAAATTGAAAGGTAGTGTATATTTCTTGCACTCACAGGAATAGATTTTCATTTTGAGAATGCTTATGTCATATTATAACGTCTGTCACGATCACCAGCTGGAGTACCCACAAGCTCCTTCAGAGGGCACTCCCCTCTTGTCCTTGGCCATTCCCCATGATCCTTGGCCTGGACTAATTTTGGCTTCATTCATCACACCTGTCTATTCCTACCCTGATAAATATTACTTAGACCTGTAACTCATATTAAGTTTGCATGCTTTGAAACTGCATATATGTAAAGCAGTAGTAGAAATCAATAATATGAGTGTTACGGGGCTGACGAGACGTGAGACGTGCGGATCCATATGCAAAGCTTTATTTGGAGAAGACAGAGACATGGTCATAAGACAGGCAGGGTAAACAGTGGCAACCAGGAATATGGCGGGCAAGACACAAGAATAATCCTAGGGCTAGCGTGGGTCGACGATTGGCAGACAGAGTCACGCCTAAAGGGAGAAATCCAGGAAAACAGGCGAAGATCAAAACCGAAGGAAACAGACAAGGCAAGGCAAAACTAGGCTAAGACTAAGGCTAAGGCAGGGAAACTAATGAGGGCTCTGTAGTGTAGCTATCTAAGGATAAGCGCTAAACAATACTCGGAGCTCGCAAACGTCCTCTATAGCCGTGACAGGACGAGCAGGGAGTTCGCAAACGGCCTCTATAGCTGTGACCGAACGAGCAGGGAGCTCGCAAATGGCCTCCATAGCTGTGACAGGACGAGCAGGGAGTTCGCAAACGGCCTCTATAGCTGTGACCGAACGAGCAGGGAGCTCGCAAATGGCCTCCATAGCTGTGACAGGACGAGCAGGGAGTTCGCAAACGGCCTCTATAGCTGTGACCGAACGAGCAGGGAGCTCGCAAATGGCCTCCATAGCTGTGACAGGACGAGCAGGGAGTTCGCAAACGGCCTCTATAGCCGTGACAGGACAGACAAAGAGTTCCCAGACGACCTCCCTGGCCGGAACAGAACAGACAGAGAGTTCATAGGCGGCCTCCCTGGCTGGGACAGGACGAGCAGAGAGTTCATTGACGGCCTCCCTGGCCGGAACAGGACGAGCAGAGAGTTCATCGACGGCCTCCCTGGCCGGAACAGGACGGACAGAGAGTTCATTGACGGCCTCCTTGGCCGGAAAAGGACGAGCAGAGGGTTCATAGGATGAAAATGAACTGTGACTTGACCTGACTCATAACTACCAGCTGTGACTTGACTAGACTCATGAATATCAGCTGCGACTTGACTTGACTCCTGAAGATTAGCAGTGACCTGACTTGACTCAGGAAGATCAACTGTGACTTGACTAGACTCATGATCATAAACTGTGACTTGATTTGACTCGTGATGATCAACTGTGATTAGACTTGACTCCTGACGATCAATGGTAACTTGACCTGATTCATGAAGATCGGCTGTGACATAATGGGGGGCTGTTGTGTCCACCATTTCGCGATCAGGCTCTGCTGTCGCCGCCATTTTGTGAGCATGCTCTAGTGCGGCCGCCATTACACGAGTGGGTACGGGGTCATGTCCCTCCGCGATACCCACAGTGAACGCTGAACCAGCAGTCAGCAACACATAGTCTATAAAGTCCTTTAAACTACAGTTAAAGCTACCCTCTGGCATCCATGATTTTATGGATTAATTTAGTCCATAACAAAAAATGTTCTTTAGTGCGACCTCATCAAAAGGTACCCTAAAAGATAACTCACGGAACTGAGTGACATATTCCTCAATAGGTGAACTCCCCTGTCGTAAATCGAGTAGCCGGTCGACTGGGTCCATACTTGGCCAAGGTCTTCTAGGAAAGCCGCTGGATCCTTGTGGGGCCGAGTATTCTGTTACGGGGCTGACGAGACATGAGACATGCGGATCCATATGCAAAGCTTTATTTGGAGAAGACAGAGACATGGTCATAAGACAGGCAGGGTAAACAGTGGCAAACAGGAATATGGCGGGCAAGACACAAGAATAATCCTAGGGCTAGCGTGGGTCGACGATTGGCAGACAGAGTCACAGGGGCAAGGCTAAAGGGAGAAATCCAGGAAAACAGGCGAAGATCAAAACCGAAGGAAACAGACAAGGCAAGGCAAAACTAGGCTAAGGCTAAGGCTAAGGCAGGGAAACTAATGAGGGCTCTGTAGTGTAGCTATCTAAGGATAAGTGCTAAACAATACTCGGCAGAGGGAAGGGATCAGAGTGAGTGTTAAATAGTGAGGGAGTGATATGAAACAGCTGGGTGCAATCAGTGTTACCAGCTGTGTGCAATCCGTGCTGAGTGCAATCAGTGCAATGAATGATGGGATATGTAGTCCGGGGTGATGTGCAACAGTGTGTAGTGCGAGAGTCAATGAAATCGGAAAGGGTGACCTCTGATGGCTAGCAGAAGGAAGTTCATGGACCGGATTCGTGACAATGAGTGTTAATGTGCTAACTGTCTTCTCATCTTTTTGTCCAACGTACTTCCACTCTAGACACAGTAACATGTTGTACAAACAATGTTCTTTTGGTTCTTCTGTTTGGAAGCTGAACACGTCTGGTCTAGATTTTACTATCCACATCATTTAAAAAAAAAAAATATATATATATATATCCAATTTTTTACACAAACTTTTATTTCTTTTGATTTGTTTTTCAAAACACTTTGGTTTTCTGCTCTAAGCAGTGAAGATCAAACATCAGAGGAAGCTTAAATGACCTCCACTAATCAATGAACTCAGAGCAGTGGCTGAGAGATGAGATTCAGGCTATTACTGAACTGCTTTTGGTTCTCAGGGTAAAGTACTGTTTATGCCTCAATTTTTCAGTTGAAATAGAGTGTCAGTAGTTCAAGTGCAAGATTACAGGTTTGCATCCCGATAAAAATATATTTTTTTATATTTTTCCAAACTACACTGAACAAAATTATAAACGCAACACTTTTGTTTTTGCCCCCATTTTTCATGAGCTGAACTCAAAGTTCTAAGACTTTTTCTATGTACACATAAGGCCTATTTCTCTCAAATATTGTTCACAAATCTGTCTAAATCTGTGTCTTAGTGAGCACTTCTCCTTTGCTGAGATAATCCATCCACCTCACAGGTGTGGCATTCCACTACTCTTCAATGGCTGTGCGAAGTTGCTGGATATTAGCAGGAACTGTCGTATACGCCGATCCAGAGCATCCCAAACATGCTCAATGGGTGACATGTCCGGTGAGTATGCTGGCCATGCAAGAACTGGGATGTTTTCAGCTTCCAGGAATTGTGTACAGATCCTTGCAACATGGGGCCGTGCATTATCATGCTG